TATGTCATATAATTGTTTGAGTATTTGACATAGGTACCTTAGAGCCATAAAGATAGGTGTGGAGTTACAGTCTTCAGTAAGACTGGCAAAGAAATCCAGGCCAATTCAGTTTGACCTTGTTATTTACCAATTATTTGTATATCCTTTAACACTTAGTAAAAGGCAGACAACTAATATATTACATAGCTCTAATATAGTACAAATTTCATCTTTAATTTATATCTCTGAACTTTTTTTGTCCATAACTGAGATTGAAAAGTTTAAATCAGAAGCTGGGGGAATTTTTAAAAATGTTCTTAAAAATCACAATAGTGTTGCTATTTAGGTTTTTAAACTGCATATATGCATGTTATCATTTACACCCACAGCAAGAATGAATGAAACCAGCATCCCCTGCTCTCCATACCCACCCCCGCCACCGCAGACGCTGGCTTACTTTTTGACAACACCGTCTACGGCCCTTATTTTAGTGACCGCTCAGTTTAGCAGTAGCAACACTCTGTTCTCATCCTTGAAATTCTTCCGTTGGATCCCTGGAGTACAGCAGTCTTCCTACTTCCCTGTCCGTCTCCTATAAGCTAGTTTTCCTCCTCCTCTCCCTTAGATGTGGTTTTCATTCTTGGATGTCTTGCTTTCTTTCTCCACGTTTGTTCTGGGCGACCTCATCAATGCTGAAGGCACCAAGTGCCGATTTCCTGATGATTCTCTAGGTGATGATGACTCTCAGGCTGTATTTCTAACTCAGACCTCTCTGTTGGTTTCCACCCTCTAGATGTGTCTACTTGGACAGATACTCCATGTCCTGCAGATGTTCACACACAAAATATCCACAGTGTAGTTCTCATTTTGCCCTTGAATGCCATACTCCTCAGTAAAAGGTGCCCACCTACAAGTCATCAGGTTTCCATTTCAGAAACCTAGGCTTCCACTTCACTCGCACAACCGTCTTGTTAGAGTCTGTAGAATCTGTCTCTTAGGTGCCTCTCGTATCTATAACCCTTCTCTCTTTCCAGTCCAGTCGCTCCGCCTCTAATACAGGCCTCCTATGTGTCTTGTTTGGCTTTCCATCTTTTTCTAGTGGGTGCAAATCTGATCGTGTCACGCCCCAGCTTACTTACCAGAATTTCCGGGCAAAGTGAAGCCGACTCTGTCCCCCAGCAGGGAGCACGCCCTAACCACTGCCAGCCTTTCTAGCTCTGTCATTGCTCAGCACACTGGGTCCCCTGCTGTGGCTGCTCCCTCTCGAGTCCTTGGGGTCAGTCCCCCAGCCTTCGCTCACTGGTGTCCTCCTGTAACATCTTTCCTTCCCTGATCCCTGTTCTTCCTCTACCTTCTTCACCTTACTGACTCCTGCTCATTCATCAAGATTTAATTGAAGCACTACATCCCCTGGGAATCACTCCTGTTGCCCCATCGAGTTTAACATCCTGCCCCCCCCCTGCCCCACACCTCATGCTCTTAGCCATTTCTTGCAGCAATTCTGGGAGGCTGGGGTCAGGTACCAGCTCCGCCTTTTCCCAGCTGTGTCGTCTTGGCCAGGTGCCTCACTTGCCCTGGGCTTCAGTTTCCTTATTTGTAAACTAGAGATGTTAATAGTTGTGCCCACTTCAAAGGGTGGTTAGGAGAGTAAGTGAGGTGACGTACGTAGAGTCTCGGGAACAGGGCCTGAGACAGACACAGTGATTCTGAATTAAGCTGAGCTACTTTCATTATTGCCATAACTACTGACTTACTTGTCTACTTTCCAAAACAAACAGAAAGAGGGACAGAGAGCAGGTGAGATCTGACTATGTTCCCTCAGCACTTAGCACAGCACCTGGGACATATGGTAGGTACTCAATAAATACTCGTTGAGTGAATGGATACATACAGATAATGAATAAGTGAATGAAAGGCTTAAAATTTTACCTGAAAGTATGTTAATGAGTAAGATCGCTCTAATTTTATCATGTGTTTTTCACTTGAACGTTAAGATGTGAACGGTATCTCATTAACTTAAGTGTAACTGACTCACTGTTCTTATATTCAAGAATCTTCCAGTTCTGACAAAAGGGCACAATGCAGTTAATTAACAGAAATGTTATTCTGGAAACCGATATGGAGACATGAACTGTGACAAAAGTCCTGTGAGACACACGCAGAGAAACAAAATTTGAATTCCTATCAGAAAGCCTAATGAGGTAAAGGGAAACCACCTTCCCTGAGCCCGTTTTGGGCCACCAGTCTGTTGCTGTGACAACAGGTCTGCCGAGTGACTCATCAGCATCAGCGAGAAACGGGCCTGGGGCATCTCTTCATCTCCACCCGCTGCCCCACGGGCCTGGCAGGGAAGGGTGTGACTGCAGCGCAGTGACGGTGGGACACAGCAAGCCTCAGTCCTGGCCACTGTCTCCTCCACGTTCCTCACGGAAGCACCGCTTCCTGTTTATTTTGAAGTTTTTCTCAAATACAGAAACCTGCCCTTTCTCCCGCTAGGTTCCTTGAACCTCAATGGAGATGCTGTATATAATAATGGATGTTTGTTGTCTCTGCCCTTTGGGGGATCTTAAAAAGGTATTTCTACTCTTAGCAATTATTGGAAAGTCCAGAGGACTCCGAGGAGAGGCCAGCCTCTAATCTGTGCCTTAAATGTGCCACCTTGCTTCATCAGAAGTAAATTATATGACAGAAAAGGGCTTTGTGATGAAACGAGGCTATAACTCACCCTCTGCCCCAGAGTTCTCATATTGTGGAAAGACTGGAGAAACTCTGAAAACATCTCTGACTATTTTTCATAATCTGAAATAAGTGAAATTCTATTATGCAGTAGAAAGTTGGACAGGGAAGCAGGCTGATAGGAATATACATGATTCATCTGGCGTGGGGTTGGAGGAGGGCTCTATGGACCCCCTGGACCACCAGAAAGACGAACAAGGGTCCAAGAGCAAATGAAGCCTGAAATATCGCTGGAGGTGAAAATGACCCCACTGAAGCGCACATCATGAGAAGGCAGGGCTTTCTGAAAAAGACTCCGGTGCTGGGAAAAACAGAAGGCAGCAGGAAAAGAGGAAGACCAGATAGGAGACGGTTTGACCCCACACAAGAAGCCATGGGCATGAGTCTACGGGAGCTGAGCAGGGCTGCTGAGGACAGGACACTGGGGATGTCACTCATGCACAGGGCCACCAGGAACTGGAGCCGACTCAATGGTATGTAACACAGGCAAATAGAAGCACTGCTCTTTCTATACTTGGTTTGTCTTCCTTCCAACCCAGACATGGATTTACAAAACTTGGGGATATAAAACTGGGACAGGTTAAATCCAAGTAATTTTGTAGAAACTTGTAATATTACTCAAATGTGGAGTTGTCGACTTTCTTTTTTTTGCCATGAGATATTTCTAAAATACAATCCTACTAAATGTGGAAGTCAAACTAGTTTGATGCAATTACTTTTAACTTTGGAAAGTAAAAAATCTTGTAAAATAATTCTAAGCCGTAATTCATGAAAAGAGAAGATCTATTTATTTTTTAATTCTAGGGTTAGTATATTCTGTCTCCTTTTTTAATCAGATCTGGCTCAGATTAGATCTATAATGAGCATCCTCAGAAAAATGATAAATTATAACAATGGCTTCAATGGAGTAAGTACTTCACAAATATCTATATTCCATTACCATAACAACCTCCAGAAATTACTATCCCCATTTTACTGATGAGGAAATCAAGATTGAAAGGCAGTAAGCACTTTGCCCTGGGACTAGGATCTTCTCTGAGCATGCTAACGTCAAAGTCCACACACTTTCTACTGTATCCCAGTCCACTTCACACGCACAGAAGTCCCAGGGGATTGCAACAGAAAGACATTTTCCTGAGATTCCTTTTTCTAAAGGCCATAATGCATAATTAAAACTAGCAAAAGAGAAAAATATTTGCCTGAGATCTTTCTGGGACACGGGTGTGGGATCACAGACCAGTCCCAGCGACATACGCACGCAGGGAGAGGACACGGGCTAGGAGGAAGGAGACTTTCTGATGCGGGGAGCAGACCCTGGGATTTTGTGGGGGACACGGGGACGCTGACTGGCTTCCCCTCCTGACTGTGTCTGTAGTCTAACTGACTCTGTCTTCATCTGAGCAGCCAGCAGAGTCTGGTGTTTACACACGTGCACCAAACGTGCAAGTCTGTAAACTATAAATTCCCGAAGCTGAACTGAAGCCCCCGGAGAAAAGGGCCCTTGCGCTTCCTGGATCCAGAGAACTCCTGTCTTCCACGAGTGGCATCCCAGAGACCATGTGACCTCATGATGCAAGGGCCCATGGGATGCAAGGCGAGCTGAGCCGAGCGAGGCAGCATCTGCTCTTGCCCTGATTCTGTTAGCTTCTGTAACCTCGGCTGGAAACGTCAGAACGTAAACCTTTAGCGGGTTGTGGACGTGGGGTCTCTTCTGGAAAGCTGGACATCAGGTTTCCTCACGTTACTCAATACTATTGTCCACACTGCTTCGCCAACTCATACAGACGCTAATTTTCATTATTCCCATTTGCCTTTGTTATTCTCCCCACTCTCTTATGCCTTATTCCTGATCAGGTTACACGATCCCATCCTCTGTCTACTCTTAACCCTGTCTCCTTAACCCTGTCTCCTTCACACACACGTGCGAAGAAACTTCAGGTGCACGGTTAGGGTGGTTCATGCTCTTCGCCTTCCTTCCTGTCTTCCTTCTCATTCTCTGCCGCCTTCATCTAAACGCCCATTCTTCTCTCATATTGTTAGGCACCTGCTTCTCTCCACACGTGCCTGCTTCCTGCCTGCTTCCTGCCTGCTTCCTGCCTGCTTCCTGCCTGCTTCCTGCCTGCTTCCTTGTGAGCGATCCAAGGACAGGGACCCAGATCCTTCTCAAGTTTGTGTCTTCACCTTCAGCCCACCGTAGAGCAAAGGGAACCACAAATGTTTGACTCCATCGAAGCTACACGGTCAGGGCTAGGACCAGTCTGCAGTGACAAAGGACTTATACTCACATTTCAGCTCGAGCTTGATGAAATCCGTGTTCCCCAGGTTTTCCAGGAACACTCCCCGTGGGACTAACGTTTTGAAGTAGAAAGAAATGTCGGCACTGGTTTCCCCTTGGAAAGTGGAGAAGTGCAGGTAGGATGACGGGTTGGGGAAAGACGCAGCGTTCCAGTAACTCCCTGTGGGAAAGACAGTGAAAGCAGGTCATTTACACCTCAGTCATGACAGCAGAAGACACCCACTTCCTGAGCTTTAGTAAATTTCCATTGTTAACAGCCCTCGTTTCCTCTCATCCCACTGACCGATACTGCCCAACCCCCCACAAACATATCTGACTTTCCAAAAGTCCTAGGTGTGTATATAAAACATTTTGTTAAAGACCGGTAATTGGGGTTCCTGCCCAGAGCAGTCCTGGAGTTACACTAGGACAGCAAGAAAAAATGGAGAGATGTTCCTGTGTCGCCATCTGCGGTGGGTGGGCTGTTCTGAGCTCGTGCATGTGTCCTGGTGGCTTCGGTTGGTGTGAGAAGCACCTAGGCTGGACCTGGGGGCAGAACAGGAGCAAGGGCTTCGGCGTTCTGCTCTTGCTTCTCATCCGCCTTTGCCTCGGAATAACCGGTCAGCGGCCACTTAGAAATGGGGTGTCACAGGAATACAACGGGGGGAGCACTGAAGGCCTGTGGAAGTGAGGAGCTGAGAGAAAGCGGGATGACCAGGCCAGGCCGGTCACTTCCCCATCCCTCCTGCTCCAAACCACCGAAGGCGAGTTGCTGTAAAAGGAGTGTCACCTCTTCCACCTCTTCATGCCATTCGTTCCTGGGACTCCGGGAACTCTGACCTTTGGGGTGTTTTGGGGAGCTCTCAATCAGACTGTAACCCTGAGCTCATGAAGAAGACACGATTGCACCCGCCCCCCTCCTCACTCACTGCTGATAGCAGCCAGTATCTCCAGGAGAAAAGCAGTTCGCAGGACGAAATACAAACACCGAACTGATGACGCACATTCCATTAGAACAGATGGACCATGAGTTTCACATGAGACCAGGAGCTGACTCTTGGCTGCCACTCCAGGGGAGAGATCCCTTTCTCGTGCGCACACTTCTGAGTGTTTACGATCACGGCTGTGGACTAAGGTGTGTGGGCACGCTTTAAAACAGCTACTAAAGCCTTTGTCTTTAATACTAAGCCTGTGTTAAAGTCACCAGGTTTGGCTAAAGATGGAGTCGCCTATGCTAACTTAGCCCACTGTCAGCAAAGCAAAGCTCAGCACTACATCTCTGTGCTCTGACATCCCCTCCCACCCCCACAGCCGGCAAAGGTGGGCCTGGGTCAGCCAGTTGACTCTTGCCTGCTCAGCACAAGTTGTGAGATGACCAGGCCAGGCGAGAGTCAACTGGCTGACCCAGGCAGCTCTGAGCCTCCCTTTCTTCCGTCTACGGGAAGTAATTCTGCTCCAACCGACCAGCGAATGCCCGGGTAACGTCCTTGCTCCCGTTCCTTGTGCTGTGAAGTCTTCCGTACTCTACAGCTCCTCAGAGCTCCCTTCTCTCTCTAGGCTGGATGCTGCCCGACTCATGATTGCCAGATAAAGCTTACTGGATTGGCAAAGTGTCTAGGGAAAATTTTCTTTTAACACCTAAAATATATGGCTTTTTAAAAATTATTTATTATTTATGCCTACAGCACCTGGTCTTCCTAGGTGGTCTCCCATCCAAGTACTAACCAGGCACGACCCTGCTTAGCTTCCGAGATCAGACATCGGGCTTGTTCAGGGTGGCGTGGCCGTAGACCATGGACTGTGGCTCCACTGGGGCACGAACCCATGACCTTCTGTGTGTAAAGCAGACATGCTAAACGCTACACTATGGAACCATATCCTGGTTTTTTTTTTAATAACTGATTTTCACTATTTTCTTCAAAGAACACAACTAATCAACTAAATTCAGTTTATTAGGTTCTATATACTGTATTCTTTCCTTTTACTCAAATTATGCACATATGCAATACTAAGGTCAACCACTATTCTTAGATGAAATTTGTGTTGAGACTGCTATGCTTAAGTCGTAATTTTAAATTAAACAGAGAATATGGCTATATTATGAGATATTAAAATATTCCCTTATGTTCTTAGGGACATGTAGGATATAGCAACATCTGGGTAAGTGAATGGCAATATCTTACCAGTAAGTCAGTGCAAACGATGTCTGTAAATATCTTCCTTACGGTAAAAACAGTGGTGGTGTTTAAAAGTCTTCGTACAGTTTTAAGCTATATATTACATGGCTATATATTATATGGCTATATATTATATGGCTATATATTATTTTTCCTTAGTAGAGGAAAAATAAACTAGTTTTCTCTTGGGAAGAATACTATACGACACTGGTTAATAACACCTGAAAGGAAAGAATCTTAACTATTTAAGTCGTTATCATCTGAGGGCTGAATCCTCTTTCTGGCTCAAGATCTGGCTTAACATACAGTGAGAGCAGTCCAGGCTCACCTTTCCCACTGGCCCAAAACGCAGGTCTCCTGAAGTAAAACCTGAGTCAAACTCGAGGCTGCAACCCTCTCAGCAGTCAGGGTCCTAGCAGCAACGAAGCCAAGACCGTGGGGCCAGCAGGATGTAGGTCACCCTAATGGGCCCTTCGACAATCTAGGAGCCGGCAAGCGTCAAGGTCCCCGGCCACACTTCAGCCTAAGCAGAGCAATTCTGTCTCTTTAGACTGTATCCCCAGGACGCAAGCATAGCTAACATTTTAAAGTTCAAGTGCATTCTTATTTTCTGACATGCTGATGTATTAAGAGAAGGACAGTTGTCTAAAACAATTCTAGAAAAAAGAAAGCTAAAAGTAAAATAAGTCAGTATTTATTTGAGGTCCAATGCTAGTTACTCAGACAGAACTATCCCCAGAGAGGGGAAGGGCAGTTTAATCACTTATTCCAGTTTGATGAAAAGTCCCTACAGATCCCCATCTCATTTGTTCTGATTCCACGCTCACTAAACAACTTCAAACTAATTTGGTCTCTTGAACGGACATATTCACAGGAAATTGCGCCTTGCACGATGGTGGTCACCAATCGTCCTCTTGGAAGTGTCTGGGTTATCACATAATCTCTTTGGAGTTGTCACTTGGGGGCTGTCCCAAAACTCCCGATGAGTTTGCTAAGTCCACATTCTTGACTGGCTACCGTGAGGACTCTGGTGGTGTCGGAGTTGAGATGTCCACTGAGGGGATGCTGAGCGATAGCCATTAGGGCACAAGGAGAGATTAGACATTCTATTCACATTTATTTTAAACACTTCATCCTCTAAAATGTCTGCTTTGGTTATACTTTGTGGTGTGAACGTGTGCGTGCAGGGGGACATGTCTGGGATTTATAAGCGAGCATGCTTATTGGGGTATGGGCATAAAGGTTCTGATGAGCAGGGTACGTACCCTGATGAGCTTCTGTGAGGCCTATTCTGATGAGCTCAGGGCTCAGTCTTTGGGATTTTCGGTTTTAACAAAACAACATGCGTGCTCTTTCCAGGGCTCCTTGCACTTCGTGACACAAGGAACTTTTCGGATTATTATTATTTGTTTATATTGCTCCCAACTGACTGTACAAGCTCCTTGAAAGCTGGGAGCAAACCACTTCCTCTCTATAACCTTTGGCCCCAGGACATGAGTAAGTACTCAACAAAGAATTATTAAATCAGCGGGTAAGTGAATAGTTACCTCTCTCAATTATATTCAATTCCACTTCACATGCAAAGTCCTCATGAAACAAAATTTGCTTTATAGTAACCCGAGCATGAGATACTAAATAAATACATATAAAACACTTTAGCGGCGACTGATGACGGGTCATTGCTTCCACGAGCACACTACCATTGTGCTTATCCACGACTTAACTTCTGTGAGCCCCTACACACCTCACGGGACCACGCCAAGCACTTGCGGGACTGATGGCATCACAGCCTTAAGGCTATCGAAACAGCTACAATTTGTACTTACTATCAAGGTCAGTGCCGTGGAGGGTAAAGTGATTTTAGATGAGACTATCAAGTTGGAGATCAGAGATTCACTGTATGGCAAAGACTGGTGACGGAGCAGGCGGCAGGGACGGCCAGCACGGACAGGCGGAAGGGGGCAAGGTCGGAAACAGAGAGGAAGAGTGTGAAGCAGAACAGAAACAAATACCTGAGACTGGACGGCCAGTTGACAGTGACAGAAAGACGAGGCAGGTAGGAGCCGTCAGCGACCCAGCCGGGGGCAGGGGCAACAGTGATCAAAGGCTGGGCGGAACGCTGCGGTGAGGTTGAAGGCTCTACAAGCTCCTTAAACACGCTCTGGGCACAGCCTGGGCTCATCTCCTGTGGCAAGAGGAACCAGGGGCGTGCCCCATCTAGTGCCGGAGAGTAGGGCCGGGGCAGCAAGCCAGGCACCGAGGACATTCACCATCACATCAAACCTCCGTGGATCGTTAGAAAATGTAGTATCATCTATTCACCCAAATTCTTTAGTGGCCATTTACTTTCATCTCACCAATTATTACTTGGTATGAGATTATGACTTCAAAGTTTCTAAGGATATTTTCTAATAAGCAGCAATTATAAGCCTAATTTTAATTTCTAACGAAGTATTACATGTACATAGTTTTAAAAGTCAAGTAGTATCAGGACTATAGTAAACACAATTCCCTGCTCCACCCTTCCCCTTCCCAAAGCCAATTTTTTTTTGTGACAACTCCTTCTACACATCTTTTATTTATATCCCTGCATTTCTAAAATACACTTGTGTATTTAATTTATGCATCTTAGATATTCTCTATTGACTTTCTGAATGCGAAATGAGGACTGAGCATTTTCACAAGCCCATCTCCCTATTCCCTTTCTCCGTATTCTCCCCAAACAGCCGAATGGCAGATTTTGGGTTATGTTGAAACTCAACCCATTCTAATTCTGGAACCTCCTGGAGTTCCGCACTTTGCTTCTCACCTGCTGGCCAACAGTCCGGGCTTACAGATTTTCCTGCAGGCTCATAAGGAGCAAATGAACATGAGATACGCTGCAGTCCCTCTGTGATGGAGGGAGCAGGAGCAGGGAGCGAGCGGCAAGGACGGCAGGGACAACAGCAAGTGGACGCAGGCTGCTCTGGCCTGTCTGTCACCTGGCGAAGTTGCCATGTACTGG